CCCCTCCCTTGCCTGTTTTCCTCTCTCTCTCCTCCCCTCCCTTGCCTGTTTTCCTCTCTCTCTCCTCCCCTCCCTTGCCTGTTTTCCTCTCTCTCCTCCCCTCCCTTGCCTGCTCTCTCTCTCCTCCCCTGCCTGTTTTCCTCTCTCTCTACTCCACTCCTCTGCCTGTTTTCCTCTCACTACTACTCCTCCTCAGCGAGGTGGAAGTTTGCAATATGCCCCGGACAGCAGGGGAGAGAGCATCAGAGCAGCTAAAGTCTTCCCCCGAATACAACGTACGGTCATTATAGCTGAATTTAGACTAAAAGATACACCAAATTCAGCTGTAATGACCGTACGTTGTATTCGGGGGAAGACTGTAGTAGGCATTAGAAGCAGATGACACATGGTAGATGGTTTCCATGCCTCTTCCCTGCTTCCCACACACTCTCGTGCTGCTGCTTCCCACTCCTGCCTGTTTTCCTCTCTCCTCCTCCTTATTCCCCCGACAGCACGGAGAGGGCATCTGAGCCGCCAGTAGGCATTAAAGGCAGCTGACAGATGACACGTGGCAGATGATTGCTATGCCTCTTCCCTGCTTTCCACACACACTCTCATGCTGCTGCTCTGCTCCCCACCCCTGCCTGTTTTCCTCTCTCTCTGCTCCCCACCCCTGCCTGTTTTCCTCTCTCTCTGCTCCTCATCAGCGAGATGCTTTCTAACAGAAAGGGGGGGGGTATTAGAGCAATTAGCATATAACCCCATCTAGATCATCATACATTTCACTCCTGCCCTATTTATGCAACGATAGCGGGGAGAGAGAGGATTGGAGCAGCCAGAGCTGCCATGACAGTCTTTTCCCCCGAACATAACGCACCCTGAAAATTAATGTATATAAGCTATCTTTCCGGCCAGGTGCAGCGAAAATGAGGGTGCGTTGTGTTCCGGCGAAGGCGGTAATGATTAGAGCTAGATGGTGGATGGTGGCGCTGCCTCTCCTCTGCTTCCCGCACACTCGCATGCTGCTTCTCCCTACCGCTGCCTGATTTCCTGTCTCCTCCTCCTCCTCCTCCTCAGCGAGGTGGAAGTCCGCTTGTAGAAAAAAAGCACACGGCTTTGTGAGCAATTGTCGCTCAGCGACACAAATGTGCGACCCTTCCACCCAGGACAAAGTAAAAGAGGTCAAAAACTTTAGATAAAACAACAAAAGACCAAAAACACAAACGAAAAAAAAAAAAAAAGAGAAGAGAAAAGGAAAGAAAACAAGGTCCACTGCGTTTGCCTCTAATCTTCTCTCTCTCTCTCTCTCTCTCTCTCTCTCTCTCTCTCTCTCTCTCTCTCTCACACACACACACACACACACACACACACACACACAGAGGACACTCTGCTTGTGAAAACACCATGCTTTGGAGTCCTCAATGCCTTTGTATAAACGCTACGCTTCGTCGTAGAAACACAACGCCCTATCGTCGTGACTGTATTGCAGCGGGATAGACCGCTAGCGCACATTCATGATGATGGGGACGCTATATTCGAGGGAAGAAGAAAGAAAGCATGTACAGAACCCGCAGAGTGCCCGCGACAAATAGACGGGATGTCTGCATTGCATCAACGGGCCATGAAGATACACATAGATTCGAATTGTACACAAGCCGGGGAGTAAGAAGGGAAAGAACCAAGAAGGGAAGGAGGAGCAGGGAGGACAGGGGGGCAAGGACNGAGAGAGAGAGAGAGAGAGAGAGAGAGAGAGAGAGAGAGAGAGAGAGAGAGAGAGAGAGAGAGAGAGAGAGAGAGAGAGAGAGACATGAAACAAAAATGCGACGCCATCAGCGAGTGTTGCTGTGCGCCACGGCTACGCCGTGGCGGGGTCCACTTGTTTGTTTAAAGGGTTGTGGAGGTGTCCGGGATTCAACTCTTCGGGGAAAGTCGGCGGGAGGCTGCACGCACCGTGTTCAGCCAACCCGTCGGTGTGGTGGCCTCACCCACACACAGCATCACTCAAGACAAGGCTCAGGAGGGGCAGGAGAGGCAACCTTAGCCATGCGCGCACAGTGCCGCACACACACACTGCCAGTTTCACCCCAGGTTCGGTGTTACCCAGGGCGCTGCGGCTCAGCGCAACCCCTCCCGAACTCAGGGACCTGCAATCTTCCATTGCACCCTGCCGGGAGGCCAGCGGCACCCAGTCGCCTGGTGCTCAGAGCATCAGTGTCATGCCTGCTAAGGGGGGCACTGTCCAATCGCTCCTGACAGGACCCTTCACAACTGAGTCCACCCCCCTAGGGGCTGAATCCCCCCATGGTCTCAACAACCGTGACCCCAAGGGGAGTGAGATAGCAACCGTTACGGCGCCCGAAGGTACCGCACAGGTTCCAAGTCCGCAAACCCGGACAAACTGAAATCCATTCAGCCACATGCGTCCATCTTTTGGCGCCTGATTGCTCCACACTCAGTGTGCGAATGGCTGGGCGCTATGAAAGCGCGAAACTGCAGGTGCGCTCAAGGCTGTGAGTTTTGAACCCACGGCCTTATACCACAATGCGTGTTTCCAACTGCTGCTCTAACCACTGAGCATCCTGGCCATTCACCATGGAAGCAGTTTCTAAATGCATTTCAAGTGCGCTTTAGCAGTCCAGTCTGGTCGGAAGTTTACAATGCAGTCGAATGTCCGCTTTGCAGAAAAGTCGCACCACGAAGTTTGCAACTGCAGTTCAGTCAGGCCTGTGACTTCTTTTATTTATTTATTTATTTTAATCTCGGGCATGGCCCAGCCATGTGATGAGATGCTTTTTTTTTTTTTTCCCCTCTGGCATGGCCCAGCGACGCCCAGGAAAGAAAACAAAAAAAAAACCAAAAAAACACCGGCCACGTGCCTGACTGGACAGCAGTTGCAAACTCCGCAGTGTGACTTTTCTGCAAAGCGGAGTTTCAACTGCATTGTAAACTTCTGACCGGACTGGACTGCAGAAACCGTGGACGGAATGCATTTTGACACTCAAAACCATGACCGCACCCTACGTAGTTCTCTCCCCACCTTCTGAATCAACACCCATGAACTGTTGAAATACAGACCCAAAACATCATACTATAACAATTCTGGACCTGTTTCCAACTGCTGCAGCTCCCCACCAATAGATTTGGGCCATCACGAACAAAAAGGCATTGCCCCTGCACAAGGATGGCACACATAGTAGACAGACTCTGGTGGAGGAAATCTTTGGGGAGCCTGCAGTAGGGGCTGTCTTCTGAGGGGGATCCTCCAAGATAGGATAGTCTGTGTCCCATAAATTAGTTGCTGACTTTAGATGGGTACCTGTCGTGGGTCCAGAAACCGACCTCTACAACACCCTGCATTTAAAAAAAAAAAAAAAAAAAAAAAAAAAGAAGAAGAAGAAGAAGAAGAAGAAAGGCTTGGATTTTTTTCCGCACTCTCTCTTTTGTAATGAACCCAGTCTGGAAGATACTCATCAGACGTCTAAGTACAGGTACTCTCATATCTGCACAAAGTCTCCAGTTATCCTGAAGTGATATCTGAAACAGTATCTCGTTACCATTAGACGAAGAGAGAAGAGAGTGGAGGGGGAATAGACAGAGGAGAAGGTGGAAGAGAATCAAGGATCGCACAAGAGTAGTCCCACTCCTTCCCCACCCCTTCTCCGGGCTTCCCCTCCCCTCCACGTCCAAAAAAAAAAAAACAAAAAAAAAAAAAAAAAAAAAAAAAAAAAAAAAAAAAAAAAAAAAAAAAAAAAAAAAAAAAAAAATTTTTTTTTTTTTTTTTTTTTAACTTGTAAAACATCCTTACGATGATTAAGATGATTGCACAAATTGAAGTCCATCCGCTGACAGAACAAGCCAAAGACTCCAAAGAGCCCTTGTGTATGTGCTAATTACTCTACCCAGGGTGGGGGGGTTAACTGAACATACCAGAAAGTAGTGCTTGAATCTAAACGAATCTTATTATCAAATAATATCAACATAATAATAGAATGAAAGAGAGAAAGATGATGCTGATAGACAGGCTATACACATACAATTTTTTTTATTTTTTATTTTTTTAAGTCGTTTTTTTTCAGGTATAAAACGCTGGAAACTACGTCATCCCTTTGTTACGATGGTGTTTGATGATCAGTCCCTTCCACAGCCGCGGATCTCTCCTCCGCCTGAAAGCACACGGATTCGAATTGGCACCCTCAGCCTCAAGAGAGGCTGCCATCGTAGAAGGTGGGACATAATTGCCATCTGCTTCTGGAGATGTCTACTTGCTCAAGGTCTGGTCGTCATCGCCGCTCTTTGCATTCGACAGCTGATCGCTCTCAGCCTCCTGTAGGGTGGCAGTACTTCCCTGAAGAGAGCCTCCTCCCTCCTTGTTTGACCCTTCGGCGTCTGAAGGGTTCAGTCCCAGAAGCAGCTGAAATGCATACAGCATCAACCCTATCGAATTCGCGGCAAAGACGAAGGTCGCAAGATAACAGAGACCAGCGATGATCGTCCTGACGGTGATGGTTAGGTTTCTCACAGAGTAGTTTGCAGATACTGATTGTTTTGCGAAGCCTCCCTCAACACCAAGTGTGAATTTGTAGAGGAGATATGCGATTCCCGCGGCAACAAGCGCGCCAGAGAAGGTACCGAGTGCTGTCGGCGGGTTGGAGGCAGGAGGAGGCTCCGCCGCTGGGGGGTTCGATTCCGCGGCTCTTCCCGCCGCCAAAGAGGCACTATTAGGATCAGGATTGAGAGTATTAGGGTTTTCTTTCCCCACCTCCACCGTCCTATCAGATCTAAATCTCACTCTCTTGGCATTCTTCGTCCGCCGCCGAAGCGAGCGCAAAAGCAGCAGAGCGATGGCTCCCGTGAGGAGGACACTGCCCGCCGTCTGCAGGGGGTTCGCTTTAGGGAAGGCGAAGGGATCGATCTCTAGATCGAGATCGAGATCGATAGGGCCTGAGATCTCGACTGGACCGGACCGGTCATCGGTCGGTTGGCCAGTTGCTGCCGGCGATTTTGGCGGGGAAACGTCCGCTGCGGCAGGGGGGGATTTTGGCGGGGAAACGACAACGGTTTCCGCCGCCGCCGCCGCCGCAGTATCGAACTGCGCTGCCGGCCGGACAGCCAAGACGACTATCTTACTGCGACGCCGCGGTGGAGCTGCGCCGCCGCCAACACCTCTCGCCGTATCCCAGCCCTTGGTCGCCGCCACGCCGTCTACGATGACTGCGCGCCGAGCGCATTGGCCGCGCACGCTCTCTCGGTTCCGCCGACGAAGCAGGAGCGCATGAGCGCTAACCGGCCACGACGACGACGGTCTTGGTGGTGTCGGCAAGCGGCCAGCGCAGAACCCTGGCCCTGCGCACGACCCCAGCCCACTTACTCGTACCGCCACGTCTGCAAAGCCAGGCTCCGACCACGTGGCAGATGTCGACGAGCCAAGGACGGCCATGGCCTCAACGCCTGGCAGAGCCCGGCTAACTCCAGCTGCCGCCATCGCTGCCCCGCCCTATCGGACGGGGAAACCGAAGGATACCCAGTACTTCTCCTCACAAACCCCAAGAATTGTTCCCTCCGTTTACGATCCCAACATCACCTGGAGGAGAGAGAGAGAGAGAGAGAGAGAGAGAGAGAGAGAGAGAGAGAGAGAGAGAAGGGGTATCCGGAGAGAGAGCGAGGCACTGAAAGAAACAGAGAGAAGGGTGAGAGAGAGAGAGAGGCACTGAGAGAGAGAGAGAGAGAGAGAGAGAGAGAGAGAGAGAGAGAGAGAGAGAGAGAGAGAGAGAGAGAGAGANAAAAACAAAACAAAAAAAAAAACAATATACAGTAACAAGTCTGATAAATCCTGATCACACAGAAGTGCCACGTGGCACTCTTATCTCGTGAAGACCATGAAGACAACAGCAGAGTACGGTAATGACATCAACCTCAGGTGAGTACCAGATCCCAATCATCCACAGATCCCGATCTCCCTCCGTGTCGCAACCAGTCACCTCATGTAGACAGCGTGGCCAGTGCCACGTCAGCTGTAGAGACAGGTGGCATGCGCCACATCATCAATGAAGACAGGTGGCAGCGTCACATTCAGCAACACAATGTAAACAGGTGGCAGTGCCACATCAGCAACGTAGACAAGTGGCATGCACCACATCAGGAATGTAGACAAGTGGCATACGCCACATCAGCAATGTAGACAAGTGACATGCGTCACATCAGCAGTGCCTGGTGCACAGTAGAGAAAGCGCCAGCATTCTGCCACAGTCCTGCGTCGTCGTCCACAGTGCCTGCGTCAAGCCAGCGTCCAGCCAGCGTCAAGGCAGCATAGCAAGACTGAATGTTGACTGCCTAGAGACCAAGTCTTATGTAGTGTTTGTCGAGGCAGTCTGGCCTCAAGTCTCCCTTCCACAGTCGTACAGATTGACTCACAGCCGAGGGCCTGGATTGTGTACGGTTGCAGACTCCCCTTGGTCCTGATGCTGTCTGGGTACCTGCATACAAACAAGTGTGTGTGTCTGACCGGCGGCCTGGGCTGGGTACATCTCGACTTTGACTGCTGGGTGTTCGACTGTCACTCGTCCAGGTCCTGAATCTTTACGTGGGGTTCTTTTCGCCCTTTGGCCTGGGTCTGAATGCGGCCTGGAAAGGCCCTCGGACATTCCACGAGGCATACTGCATGGGTTATTGCACCTTTGTCCTGGACAGCGTCTCTGGTGGGGAAGGCATTGCACTCATGAATCAGATGGTCTTCGACGACAGAAATCAGCCTGCAAGGACTGCAGCAAGGCAAGACGATCCATAACAAAACACGCAGCTAGAAATGCCGGTCATGTAACTTTTTTACGTAACTTTTTTTACGCGCTGGGGCTGACATATTTGTCCTTTGAGAACGTTAGACCACTAGTTCAGCAAAGCCCATTCCTCTGGGGCTACCTTCTGAGGCTCGCGAGCCTCCAGCTGGGCCCGTTTCAAAGTGACCGGCACAGGACTCAACTGGCCCAGGCCCAAAGCGGGATGTGGTTCGCCGTGTACACTGGTAAGAGCCTGAAAATCTCTGGAGCTACCGTCGTCACCCGAATAGAACGCCCGGTCCTTATCAGTGTATCTGGACCGCAGCGGGGCCCAAATGCAGCTATAATGACCGGGCGTTCTATTCGGGTGAAGATGGGGCAAACTGGCATTATACAGAGACTTTCAGCATTGCCCCTGTGGAAGTATGACATGCATAAATTGAGAACTGGCCCAATTCTTTTTGGGGGGTAACTAGGGCGCAGTCACAATTTCAGTTTTAAATCCACTTCAGCAATCCCTCGAATACAACACATCCCCACCGGACCCCAAAGCTAGGTTGTATACAATCACAATTTTCCTTGCTTTGACTCGAACATTCATGAAATTGTGATAGAAGAGCATTTTCGAACTGAAACCGTGACGTTGAGAAATGGGCTAGGAAACTCACTGATGAACTGTGGCTCTGGTGGCTTTGCTAATTTCGATCTATCTCGGGCATGGGCTGCGGTGTTGTCCCATAACTGGCAGGCATTATGTCCACGCCAGCTTATAAAAAGGTTTAAGCCAAGTTGTTTTTGCATTTTCACTTCACATAATGTTCGTCTTTTGGGACATCCGTTAAAATTGGAATGATACAGAGAAGATTGATTAGCATGGCTCCTGCGAAAGGATGCCACGCATGAATCGAGAAATGGTCCAATTTTTTATTTTATTTTATTTATTGTTCTCTTCTAGTGGTGGGGTGTAGGGCTGATGGCTTTACTCCTCTAGGAATTTTTTTTTTCTTTTTTTTTTTGTTCTGGAAAAAGCAAGAAATTCCATTACAAAACCCCACAAAGCCGGGAATTCCTCACAAACAACCCGGAAGACACAAGCACAGCACTTGGACCCTTACCCAGCTTCGGTTGTGTGGGGACTCCCACGACAAGAGGGCCGACGTCCACGAAGGTGGGCCATCTCCTCTAGAAGGGGCGCGTGCGCAAGGGTGACACACATAAATCGAGAAATTGTCCGTTCTTTGGCTTCTTCTGGCGGTGGTGAGTACGTACACACACAGCATCAAAATTGTCATCAACAAGTCAGAAAGCAATTACCATGAGTTATAACTCATGCATGACTGACCGAGACTTCGACAAGACAACACCAGACGAGAGGTAAACAGATTAAGGGCCTCGCCGCACGGCACAAATAACGAAACGAAACGATCACCAGAGCCGCGAGGCCTCGCGAAGCCCTGATCCACCGTTTCTCTTCGTTTTTTGCCTCACCGCCCCACAGCACACACGAAAACTCTCGTGACAACGCCCTGGCGAGAGTAGTGCGGAATTAGCTTCGCTACGGTCCAAATTTGTGGACGCTATGGTCCAAGTTTTTGGATGGACATGGGTTGGAGCGATGCAAAACACTCGTGAGATTTCGCAGCTCCTCCACCCTACCAGCGGAGGACCTACGAGTTCGTGAGTGCTGCAGGCAGGGAGGAGTCGGCACGCTCGTGAGGGGTCGCGAACTCGGAGACTGACAGCATTCACGAGTTTTTCCTGACAGAGGTCGTGTCGGTGCTATGCGGCGACTGCATCACGAAACGAAGTCGTTTTTTTCTTCGTTTCGTGCACCGTGCGGCGAGGCCCTGAGAAACAGAAAGTAGAATGACGAGGAACAAACATAGAAGATGACGAGGAAGAAAGCCAGTGAAAATGACACGTCAAAAGTGGGCTGTGGGTAGGAGGACAATTTTGGGTGCGGGCTCCGATTCCCCTCCAGTAACTGAGCGCCATTGGGCCTCGCTCCCTTACTCACAAAATGATGAACATACAGGCAGAACATGGGAAGATACATTGCCATAATTTTTTCCTTTTGTGCATGTGGTGACTAGTGGAGCCAGGCCCATTATCTTTTGGCTGACCTATAAAATCCACATACCCCTGAGTAGTGGAGCGAGGCCCATTATCTTTTGGCTGGCCTATAAAATCCACCTTTCGGTAGCCTGGACCCTTCGCAAGAAAAGAGTGTAAATCGAGGAATGGTCCAGGTTGTTGTAGAGGCTGGCTATCAGGCCACCCTAAGGCTATCAGGCCACCCTGGGCTGAAAAGGCCACCGTTGTCAGATTAGACACAAGATTGAATTTACCTGGGCGGGTTAGTCCGATGATAATACCTCAAGGCCATGGCCCTTTAAAAAAAAAAAAAAAGAAAGAACACAGACAGAAGAGTATAGTTACCTTCGGCACTTGGCCATGTGGTAGAGGCCCCCTAATCCTATAGGACTCCCTCCTGTGACAGTCTTCTTCTGGTGTCCGGAGGTGGGTCTGCCAGACGTAGGGCTTTGCTCCACCACTCAGCACGTCGCAAAAAGACACAACTTATGGTGATGCATCTACCCATGTTGTACGGGAGGACTCGTTCTCATTTTGCGAGGCCTAAGAAAGGCAGAAGCCGCCGCGTTGTCCATCGTTCGCGGCATTAGAGAAAAGTGTCTACGAAAGTACCTATTCCCCCAATACTTTCCCCTCCACGATCACGGCGGGGGTTCATCCCACAGCATGCGCATCACGGGTGAACAAGCTGCAGGTGGCGTTGAGAGATGCATAAGACGAGGATGAGTTCGATAGCACTAGACTAGGAGACACCGAAGTCGGCCCAGAGGCGTTTCCACCTCTAACTAGCGGCGACGGCAAGGCTTTCAACCAACAAAACACAATGTTGTTGTTGTTGTTGTTGTTGTTGTTGTTGTTGTTTTTAAATCCTTTTTTTGAAAGGATGAAGGTCTTGAGATATTATCATTGAGCTGACCGGCCCCAAACAATTCATTAGTAGTTGGTCTTACTTGTCAAGTTCCATCAGCTGGATTCGAACAACAGTTCATATATGTACCCACTGAGCTAGGCTCTTGGGTATATAACACAATGTGAAATGTATAATTCAATCGATTTCGGCCCTCGTCCCACCAGTCAGCACATGAAAAAAAACAAAACAAAACAAAAAAAGGAAAAGAAAAAGAAAAGAAAAAAGAGAAGTGGTTCTACACACATAAGATGAGCACGTGGCATTCGTGAAAAAATTGAGAACTTCAGACGGCGTGTTCACACTATCAGTATTTTAAATGTATCCACCCGTCACCACGGCCTCTAGTGAATGCATCGGGCCGCAATTCCGTCCCTAAATATGTAAATAAGTCCCACAGATAAGCTAAGCACTGTGGAGTGCTCGTCCGTTCCTTTTGCCCCTACCGGTAGGCCACGTCTCCTGCAAACCGCAAATGATGGGCCTCGCTCCACTACTCACCAAATGTGCAAAATGTGAATGAATCTTCCGCTAGAACATGAGAAAGTACACCGCCATGTTTTTTGTCTTCTCTATATGTGGAGAGCAGTGGAGCGAGGCCCGATGTCCGGAGTCCATGCTGTTCTTTTCCAGTGGAGAGTCACCGCCAACCCCACCTGGCGACCGACAGCGCCCGCGATGGGCGCAGACGTCTCCCATAACCGCCAGTCGCTCTGTCCAAAAAAGTGTTGAAATAGCGAATTGGCAACATCTCCTGGTGGCCTTCGGGACATCCGATAAAATTGGAACGATACAGAGAAGATTAGCATGGTCCCTGTGCAAGGATGACATGCATAAATCGAGATGTGGTCCAATTTTTTTTGTCGCCTCTTCCGTCCGTCCGCTGGCGGACGAGCGGGTATATAAGGCTTGGACCCCACTGGCCGGCGGCTGGAAACTGGTGTTGGCCATAAAAAATGGCCGACCGTGGTTGGAAACATTCTTCCTCGTTTCATTGGGACCCCACCGCAGGCCGATAGTTTCGGCATGGAAAAGTTTGGGCATACCCGAATAGGAA